TATGATCATCACTTACAAAGTAGCTGTTATATGTCTTTCCAAACTTCCGTGTTTCATCAGAATATAATGTTGTTTTTTGCAAACACTGTCCAACCTGAATATTACTTACCACAACCTTTTCTGTTACAATATTATCAATGGTTCTTCGTGCCGGAATTTGCATCAAAGTTTTACCAGCTAATTTCAAACTTTCATTGATAACGGATACTATGTGTTCCGTTGCTACATTCTTACCAGATATATTCATGACGGCTTGTCTAAATTCTGGTGTATATGCACGTAACTTGTCATCCAAAATATCTATTTCTTTATCGTCTTGAATTAAAGAATGAAGGTAATCCCTTGTTTGCATAGAGTCATTTAGGTTTGTTTTAAGGTTACTTACAAGATCTGCATGTTCATTCGACTGTTTTAATGCATCCTTATACAAACTCTGAATTTTATTCAGTTCACTTTTTAATTTTTTAATTTCATCTGTTTTGCTCTTATTGATATTTTCTATGTCTGTTAAATTCTTCTTTAATTCTTTAGCACATGATTTGTGTTTTACTACACAGGATGATAGTCTTCTGTTTTGAGTTTTTAAATTCTTACAACTATATCTTAACTTTTTAATTTTACTATTTTGCTGTTGTACTTTAGATTTAAGATTTTCACTTGAAGTTTTGTTTTTCATTTTAACTTTCTTTATTTTCCTTTCTTGAAGATCAACAGTTTTTTCTAATTTTCTTTTCAACTGATTTACTTCACTTGACTTCTTTTACTGATTTATTTGTAATTCGTTAGCTAAATCTTCTGCTATTCTTTTATAAGTAGCATCTTCTGTAGACTTGAGATTTTGTAATTTGGAGTCACTTGCACACATATTACATGTATTAAAAATATTTGTTAATAAAGTAGCCTTCTCTAGGCCTCTTTTTCGACTTACTTCTTTTTTCAGTCTGTGCAACCGTGTAACCAAAGTTTTTTTTCTCTATATTGTTTTTTGTTATTTCTGTAAACCACTTACACATTTTGTCTTGATTGATACTTTTTGATTTGACATAATCAAATATATCTAATGCCATTTGTCTGTTTAAAACAATATCAAAGTCTGACAGGCTATGTTTATCCAAGAGTGGAATCAAATTTTTGAAGTCTGTTATCTGAGGCATTTTGTAATTGAGTCTATAAATATTTGTTTTAGTTTAAGGCTTAGAATATACCATCAAACCATTTCTTCAAGTTTTTTAATAAATCACTAGCAATTTGTTCTGCTACTATGCACTTCATTTTTTTCAGTTTTCCATATTTGACAAATTCTGATCTCATGCAGAAATATATAAAGACTATATCTATTTTGTCTGGGTGACATGGCTCGATGACATCACAAATAAGTTCTTCTAAGAAATTTATGATAAAAATGGCTCTTGCATTTGTGCAGTCAATTATTTTGTTTAAGTGGTAAATTAGTTGCTTCTGAAAGAAGTCATTATAGTCATACAAAGCAAGTTCAGTACACATGTTCAAAGCAAGTTTTAGATCATATCTTCTATTCTTACTTACATTTCCAACTTCTCGATTGGATAAATACTGTAAAATGCTCTTATGTTTCATTTTCTTGAGACTTCTTTTTGGAAATTCCATGAAGATATCTGAAATACAAATACACTAGATGCCAACGCTTGAAATTTCTTAGAATGCCATGATTTAGTATCAGCAAATTAAATGTGTGTAGTATTTAATTAAACTATTGTATTTAGAACATATATGTGGGGAAAATTTTAACAATTCAGTTAATGTGATCACACACACAAAAATATGTATACAAAAAATTATATCGTCAGAGTTTACTGTTAAATACAGTCTGAAAAATAGGGTCATATTAATACTATTTGAATTAATATGACCCCATTTTTCAGACTGTATTGAACAGTAAACGATATTATTTTGAAAGTTATATTGATATAAGTTATACTATAACTTTCAACTTGGAAAGTGGCAGTCATATAAGAGGGGGGGGGGGTGGGGGTAGAGAGGGGGGTAGAGGAGGGGGGGGGGGGGTAGAGGAATCTTCTTGTATCAATATGGGATGGAAAACAGGGGAGAATTGACGACAAGGGAATAAATTGCCATGTCGTTTTTATTATTAAAACGTTAGCTGTGAGTGTGAATAGCAGACGAAGTAAACTGCCGCTACTGCAAGGAGTATTCCTATGTAATGTATGTTTTAGTTGAAAATACATATATTGATTGTTGTTAAACCACATTATTCAGTATCCTTACTATCTCGTGTGCAATGCATGGCAAGTGGTTAAACTATTTTTAAATCGCAATAAACTAACTTTATAATGCAAAAATCTTCAACTATCACGCTGATTTTCAATCAAAAGTAAACAGGAAGTTGTCCATGCAAGGGAAATAACTCCGTATACACAAAAAGGAGGGTTATTTATGAAAATTAATTTTGATATGAATACAGCTATCTAGATTTAGTTATTGGACCTAATTATATAATAAATATATCAAACTTAATAAAAAAGTACATTTTATGGCTGTATAACGTTCCCTTGTATTTGTTTTGGAACGAATGTAACTTTCAACCCTTGTTTGTACCTCAAATATTTCATCGTATTCCGGAAAATGATAATATACAGAATCATGAATATTTATATAATATCTATCAAAAGCAATCGGAACCTTCAGAGACTTAACAAGTAAATAAGAGGCCGTAATCGGAGGTCACCTGAAGATTTTATTTTTACGCACATCCGGGAACAATTATTTAGGGTAATTTGGAGTTATCTCCCATTGGTTTTCCGTACCTAAGACATGTTTTAGTGTGTCTCTTCTCCAGCTTACAGAAAAATAGTTAATATAGCTACAATGCGTGTGCTCTGATGCTAGTATGCTAGTGTTTTTTTTATCCTCAATTTGGGGAAAAAGTTAGAACAGGAATTATTTCCGAATGCGCTTACTTTCATTCGAATTAGATTTATGGAAATACTTCTGATCTCACGTACACCAACTATCAGTAAAGATATGACTCAAACCAACACATACCCAAAAATTAAAGAACCACAACGAACAGAAATGAATCAAGTTGGTCCAGACACGAACAGATAATTTCAAATATTACCGATTCACAATGTTCTCAAAAGGAAAAAAAATGGTCGGACTTAAAGGGAAAACGGTACTATTACATTTTCCAAGCATTAGGTTGGCCTTTTGTGTACCCAAGGCAGGTGAAGGAAGTCAACTTAGGAGCGCTGTGATTGGATGTTAGGGTACAATATATTTTTTTATTTATCTATGAATAACTGCAGTGTTTATATTTACAATATAAATTTTGAAACTTATTGAAATATTTTCTAGAGAATTATTCGAAAAGACTTCAAAAATTTCATAACTTTGGTGTAAAATGACGGTGGGCATGGATAACATTAACAAGCTCCGTTGGAAGTTGGTCATGATACTATTTGGCTTCGATTTTTTAAACAGAATAATAAAGTACTAATACCACACATAACTGTTTTATCCGGGTTTTTATTATAAAAAGTGGTAAATTTAGAAAATGTTAGTATTGTCGCCTATGGCAGAATAGATAGTACCGTTTTCCCTATACTGAAGATAGCAAGGGCAATCAAAATCAATCAGACTTCATTTAAAGTATACTATTTTGAAGCTTTTGATTAGTACATTTGATTTTTATCACAAAGAATAAAATTTGTTCACTGAGATAATACTGTGTTGAGAAAAGTGCTGAGTCAGCATAATAAGTCAAGTTGATGGGTACTGATATAAAACTTTATTCTAGAATTTCAATATTAACTATATTGTATAAAATGCACCAAACTATAGTTCTTTTGTATTTGTTTTCACCTTTCGCAATGATTAATTCAATTGGAAACACCAGAATTCAAGTCACGACAAATATTTTTAACTGAAATATTTGCCTTTTTTGCTGTGTATTTCCCTAAATGTATCACTTGGGTATTTCTGTAGACATAATCTATTAAAATGGGAAATTGTCTGGTTAAGTTTGTACTGTTTATGGAGTAAGGCAATATTTGGTCATACTAGAAGCATTTTCAGTGTTAAAAATGTCCATTTAAGAAAAAAAGAGGCCCACTTGAGGCTAAATTTAGATAGAATTTATACTCTCCTGTGTAAAGAATTGGTCATATTCTTGGCAATTCATACAGCAAATATTTCAATAGTGCTTCATTTTGTAGTTTCTATCTTTTATTATATCAGGCATATTTAATTTTTCATTTTCTACTGTTTGAAAGGACTTTTGTTGGAAATTAATACTCCCAAGGAACATAATTCAGCTTTTTCATAGATTAATACAGGCAACAAAGGCAACTTTACAGCTGAGTATTTTGCATATCTAATGTTTAAAGTGTATAATATCTTTGTTTTCATCATCTCAAGACAGAATAATGGATTTCATAACAAGCTCTGAAATTTTGAATCACAATATGGCATACACTAAAGCATGGAATGGAGATTGGTATGAAAAATCTTGAGTTTGTGCTTGTGTTGTAAATTTTGGATGAAATGAATACAAATTGAGTGGAACTGTTATTTTTATCTGTTTAAATGGAACTGTTTAATATATTTTTTAAATAAGATAAGATATGATTGGATACAGGTTGTTTATGAAGCCTTTTCTGAAAGAAGTAGAGAAAGAGGTAAACCAGCATGTAGGGGTGGGGACATTAAATGATCCATGTTTCTTTAAGTAATGGGAACATACAAGTATTTATTATAGCCAAGGTTTTCACAATAACTCAGTATTGCATGAATGGTGTCATAAGAATTCTTTATATCTTTATGTCACAGTATACTGAAGATAGCAAGGGAAATCAAAATCAATCAGACTTCATTTAAAGTATACTATTTTGAAGATTTTGATTAGTACATTTGATTTTTATCACAAAGAATAAAATTTGTTCACTGAGATAATACTGTGTTGAGAAAAGTGCTGAGTCATCATAATAAGTCAAATTGATGGGTACTGATATAAAACTTTATTCTAGAATTTCAATATTAACTATATTGTATAAAATGCACCAAACTATAGTTCTTTTGTATTTGTTTTCACCTTTCGCTATGATTAATTCAATTGGAAACACCAGAATTCAAGTCACGACAAATATTTTTAACTGAAATATTTGCCTTTTTTGCTGTGTATTTCCCTAAATGTATCACTTGGGTATTTCTGTAGACATAATCTATTAAAATGGGAAATTGTCTGGTTAAGTTTGTACTGTTTATGGAGTAAGGCAATATTTGCTCATACTAGAAGCATTTTCAGTGTTAAAAATGTCCATTTAAGAAAAAAAGAGGCCCACTTGAGGCTAAATTAAGATAGAATTTATACTCTCCTGTGTAAAGAATTGGTCATATTCTTGGCAATTCATACAGCAAATATTTCAATAGTGCTTCATTTTGTAGTTTCTATCTTTTATTATATCAGGCATATTTAATTTTTCATTTTCTACTGTTTGAAAGGACTTTTGTTGGAAATTAATACTCCCAAGGGACATAATTCAGTTTTTCATAGATTAATACAGGCAACAAAGGCAACTTTACAGCTGAGTATTTTGCATATCTAATGTTTAAAGTGTATAATATCTTTGTTTTCATCATCTCAAGACAGAATAATGGATTTCATAACAAGCTCTGAAATTTTGAATCACAATATGGCATACACTAAAGCATGAAATGGAGATTGGTATGAAAAATCTTGAGTTTGTGCTTATGTTGTAAATTTTGGATGAAATGAATACAAATTGAGTGGAACTGTTATTTTTATCTGTTTAAATGGAACTGTTTAATATATTTTTTAAATAAGATAAGATATGATTGGATACAGGTTGTTTATGAAGCCTTTTCTGAAAGAAGTAGAGAAAGAGGTAAACTAGCATGTAGGGGTGGGGACATTAAATGATCCATGTTTCTTTAAGTAATGGGAACATACAAGTATTTATTATAGCCAAGGTTTTCACAATAACTCAGTATTGCATGAATGGTGTCATAAGAATTCTTTATATCTTTATGTCACAGTATACTGAAGATAGCAAGGGAAATCAAAATCAATCAGACTTCATTTAAAGTATACTATTTTGAAGATTTTGATTAGTAAATTTGATTTTTATCACAAAGAATAAAATTTGTTCACTGAGATAATACTGTGTTGAGAAAAGTGCTGAGTCAGCATAATAAGTCAAGTTGATGGGTACTGATATAAAACTTTATTCTAGAATTTCAATATTAACTATATTGTATAAAATGCACCAAACTATAGTTCTTTTGTATTTGTTTTCACCTTTCGCAATGATTAATTCAATTGGAAACACCAGAATTCAAGTCACGACAAATATTTTTAACTGAAATATTTGCCTCTTTTGCTGTGTATTTCCCTAAATGTATCACTTGGGTATTTCTGTAGACATAATTTATTAAAATGGGAAATTGTCTGGTTAAGTTTGTACTGTTTATGGAGTAAGGCAACATTTGGTCATACTAGAAGCATTTTCAGTGTTAAAAATGTCCATTTAAGAAAAAAAGAGGCCCACTTGAGGCTAAATTTAGATAGAATTTATACTCTCCTGAGTAAAGAATTGGTCATATTCTTGGCAATTCATACAGCAAATATTTCAATAGTGCTTCATTTTGTAGTTTCTATCTTTTATTATATCAGGCATATTTAATTTTTCATTTTCTACTGTTTGAAAGGACTTTTGTTGGAAATTAATACTCCCAAGGAACATAATTCAGCTTTTTCATAGATTAATACAGGCAACAAAGGCAACTTTACAGCTGAGTATTTTGCATATCTAATGTTTAAAGTGTATAATATCTTTGTTTTCATCATCTCAAGACAGAATAATGGATTTCATAACAAGCTCTGAAATTTTGAATCACAATATGGCATACACTAAAGCATGGAATGGAGATTGGTATGAAAAATCTTGAGTTTGTGCTTGTGTTGTAAATTTTGGATGAAATGAATACAAATTGAGTGGAACTGTTATTTTTATCTGTTTAAATGGAACTGTTTAATATATTTTTTAAATAAGATAAGATATGATTGGATACAGGTTGTTTATGAAGCCTTTTCTGAAAGAAGTAGAGAAAGAGGTAAACCAGCATGTAGGGGTGGGGACATTAAATGATCCATGTTTCTTTAAGTAATGGGAACATACAAGTATTTATTATAGCCAAGGTTTTCACAATAACTCAGTATTGCATGAATGGTGTCATAAGAATTCTTTATATCTTTATGTCACAGTATACTGAAGATAGCAAGGGAAATCAAAATCAATCAGACTTCATTTAAAGTATACTATTTTGAAGATTTTGATTAGTACATTTGATTTTTATCACAAAGAATAAAATTTGTTCACTGAGATAATACTGTGTTGAGAAAAGTGCTGAGTCATCATAATAAGTCAAATTGATGGGTACTGATATAAAACTTTATTCTAGAATTTCAATATTAACTATATTGTATAAAATGCACCAAACTATAGTTCTTTTGTATTTGTTTTCACCTTTCGCTATGATTAATTCAATTGGAAACACCAGAATTCAAGTCACGACAAATATTTTTAACTGAAATATTTGCCTTTTTTGCTGTGTATTTCCCTAAATGTATCACTTGGGTATTTCTGTAGACATAATCTATTAAAATGGGAAATTGTCTGGTTAAGTTTGTACTGTTTATGGAGTAAGGCAATATTTGCTCATACTAGAAGCATTTTCAGTGTTAAAAATGTCCATTTAAGAAAAAAAGAGGCCCACTTGAGGCTAAATTAAGATAGAATTTATACTCTCCTGTGTAAAGAATTGGTCATATTCTTGGCAATTCATACAGCAAATATTTCAATAGTGCTTCATTTTGTAGTTTCTATCTTTTATTATATCAGGCATATTTAATTTTTCATTTTCTACTGTTTGAAAGGACTTTTGTTGGAAATTAATACTCCCAAGGGACATAATTCAGCTTTTTCATAGATTAATACAGGCAACAAAGGCAACTTAACAGCTGAGTATTTTGCATATCTAATGTTTAAAGTGTATAATATCTTTGTTTTCATCATCTCAAGACAGAATAATGGATTTCATAACAAGCTCTGAAATTTTGAATCACAATATGGCATACACTAACGCATGAAATGGAGATTGGTATGAAAAATCTTGAGTTTGTGCTTATGTTGTAAATTTTGGATGAAATGAATACAAATTGAGTGGAACTGTTATTTTTATCTGTTTAAATGGAACTGTTTAATATATTTTTTAAATAAGATAAGATATGATTGGATACAGGTTGTTTATGAAGCCTTTTCTGAAAGAAGTAGAGAAAGAGGTAAACTAGCATGTAGGGGTGGGGACATTAAATGATCCATGTTTCTTTAAGTAATGGGAACATACAAGTATTTATTATAGCCAAGGTTTTCACAATAACTCAGTATTGCATGAATGGTGTCATAAGAATTCTTTATATCTTTATGTCACAGTATACTGAAGATAGCAAGGGAAATCAAAATCAATCAGACTTCATTTAAAGTATACTATTTTGAAGATTTTGATTAGTAAATTTGATTTTTATCACAAAGAATAAAATTTGTTCACTGAGATAATACTGTGTTGAGAAAAGTGCTGAGTCAGCATAATAAGTCAAGTTGATGGGTACTGATATAAAACTTAATTCTAGAATTTCAATATTAACTATATTGTATAAAATGCACCAAACTATAGTTCTTTTGTATTTGTTTTCACCTTTCGCAATGATTAATTCAATTGGAAACACCAGAATTCAAGTCACGACAAATATTTTTAACTGAAATATTTGCCTCTTTTGCTGTGTATTTCCCTAAATGTATCACTTGGGTATTTCTGTAGACATAATTTATTAAAATGGGAAATTGTCTGGTTAAGTTTGTACTGTTTATGGAGTAAGGCAATATTTGGTCATACTAGAAGCATTTTCAGTGTTAAAAATGTCCATTTAAGAAAAAAAGAGGCCCACTTGAGGCTAAATTTAGATAGAATTTATACTCTCCTGTGTAAAGAATTGGTCATATTCTTGGCAATTCATACAGCAAATATTTCAATAGTGCTTCATTTTGTAGTTTCTATCTTTTATTATATCAGGCATATTTAATTTTTCATTTTCTACTGTTTGAAAGGACTTTTGTTGGAAATTAATACTCCCAAGGAACATAATTCAGCTTTTTCATAGATTAATACAGGCAACAAAGGCAACTTTACAGCTGACTATTTTGCATATCTAATGTTTAAAGTGTATAATATCTTTGTTTTCATCATCTCAAGACAGAATAATGGATTTCATAACAAGCTCTGAAATTTTGAATCACAATATGGCATACACTAAAGCATGGAATGGAGATTGGTATGAAAAATCTTGAGTTTGTGCTTATGTTGTAAATTTTGGATGAAATGAATACAAATTGAGTGGAACTGTTATTTTGATCTGTTTGAATGGAACTGTTTAATATATTTTTTAAATAAGATAAGATATGATTGGATACAGGTTGTTTATGAAGCCTTTTCTGAAAGAAGTAGAGAAAGAGGTAAACTAGCATGTAGGGTAGGGACATTAAATGATCCATGTTTCTTTAAGTAATGGGAACATACAAGTATTTATTATAGCCAAGGTTTTCACAATAACTCAGTATTGCATGAATGGTGTCATAAGAATTCTTTATATCTTTATGTCACAGTATACTGAAGATAGCAAGGGAAATCAAAATCAATCAGACTTCATTTAAAGTATACTATTTTGAAGATTTTGATTAGTACATTTGATTTTTATCACAAAGAATAAAATTTGTTCACTGAGATAATACTGTGTTGAGAAAAGTGCTGAGTCATCATAATAAGTCAAATTGATGGGTACTGATATAAAACTTTATTCTAGAATTTCAATATTAACTATATTGTATAAAATGCACCAAACTATAGTTCTTTTGTATTTGTTTTCACCTTTCGCAATGATTAATTCAATTGGAAACACCAGAATTCAAGTCACGACAAATATTTTTAACTGAAATATTTGCCTTTTTTGCTGTGTATTTCCCTAAATGTATCACTTGGGTATTTCTGTAGACATAATCTATTAAAATGGGAAATTGTCTGATTAAGTTTGTACTGTTTATGGAGTAAGGCAATATTTGGTCATACTAGAAGCATTTTCAGTGTTAAAAATGTCCATTTAAGAAAAAAAGAGGCCCACTTGAGGCTAAATTTAGATAGAATTTATACTCTCCTGTGTAAAGAATTGGTCATATTCTTGGCAATTCATAGAGCAAATATTTCAATAGTGCTTCATTTTGTAGTTTCTATCTTTTATTATATCAGGCATATTTAATTTTTCATTTTCTACTGTTTGAAAGGACTTTTGTTGGAAATTAATACTCCCAAGGAACATAATTCAGCTTTTTCATAGATTAATACAGGCAACAAAGGCAACTTTACAGCTGAGTATTTTGCATATCTAATGTTTAAAGTGTATAATATCTTTGTTTTCATCATCTCAAGACAGAATAAAGGATTTCATAACAAGCTCTGAAATTTTGAATCACAATATGGCATACACTAAAGCATGGAATGGAGATTGGTATGAAAAATCTTGAGTTTGTGCTTATGTTGTAAATTTTGGATGAAATGAATACAAATTGAGTGGAACTGTTATTTTTATCTGTTTAAATGGAACTGTTTAATATATTTTTTAAATAAGATAAGATATGATTGGATACAGGTTGTTTATGAAGCCTTTTCTGAAAGAAATAGAGAAAGAGGTAAACCAGCATGTAGGGGTGGGGACATTAAATAATCCATGTTTCTTTAAGTAATGGGAACATACAAGTATTTATTATAGCCAAGGTTTTCACAATAACTCAGTATTGCATGAATGGTGTCATAAGAATTCTTTATATCTTTATGTCACAGTATACTGAAGATAGCAAGGGAAATCAAAATCAATCAGACTTCATTTAAAGTATACTATTTTGAAGCTTTTGATTAGTAAATTTGATTTTTATCACAAAGAATAAAATTTGTTCACTGAGATAATACTGTGTTGAGAAAAGTGCTGAGTCATCATAATAAGTCAAATTGATGGGTACTGATATAAAACTTTATTCTAGAATTTCAATATTAACTATATTGTATAAAATGCACCAAACTATAGTTCTTTTGTATTTGTTTTCACCTTTCGCAATGATTAATTCAATTGGAAACACCAGAATTCAAGTCACGACAAATATTTTTAACTGAAATATTTGCCTTTTTTGCTGTGTATTTCCCTAAATGTATCACTTGGGTATTTCTGTAGACATAATCTATTAAAATAGGAAATTGTCTGGTTAAGTTTGTACTGTTTATGGAGTGAGGCAATATTTGGTCATACTAGAAGCATTTTCAGTGTTAAAAATGTCCATTTAAGAAAAAAAGAGGCCCACTTGAGGCTAAATTTAGATAGAATTTATACTCTCTTGTGTATTGAATTGGTCATATTCTTGGCAATTCATACAGCAAATATTTCAATAGTGCTTCATTTTGTAGTTTCTATCTTTTATTATATCAGGCATATTTAATTTTTCATTTTCTACTGTTTGAAAGGACTTTTGTTGGAAATTAATACTCCCAAGGGACATAATTCAGCTTTTTCATAGATTAATACAGGCAACAAAGGCAACTTTACAGCTGAGTATTTTGCATATCTAATGTTTAAAGTGTATAATATCTTTGTTTTCATCATCTCAAGACAGAATAATGGATTTCATAACAAGCTCTGAAATTTTGAATCACAATATGGCATACACTAAAGCATGGAATGGAGATTGGTATGAAAAATCTTGAGTTTGTGCTTATGTTGTAAATTTTGGATGAAATGAAAACAAATTGAGTGGAACTGTTATTTTTATCTGTTTAAATGGAACTGTTTAATATATTTTTTAAATAAGATAAGATATGATTGGATACAGGTTGTTTATGAAGCCTTTTCTGAAAGAAGTAGAGAAAGAGGTAAACCAGCATGTAGGGGTGGGGACATTAAATGATCCATGTTTCTTTAAGTAATGGGAACATACAAGTATTTATTATAGCCAAGGTTTTCACAATAACTCAGTATTGCATGAATGGTGTCATAAGAATTCTTTATATCTTTATGTCACAGTATACTGAAGATAGCAAGGGAAATCAAAATCAATCAGACTTCATTTAAAGTATACTATTTTGAAGCTTTTGATTAGTACATTTGATTTTTATCACAAAGAATAAAATTTGTTCACTGAGATAATACTGTGTTGAGAAAAGTGCTGAGTCATCATAATAAGTCAAATTGATGGGTTCTGATATAAAACTTTATTCTAGAATTTCAATATTAACTATATTGTATAAAATGCACCAAACTATAGTTCTTTTGTATTTGTTTTCACCTTTCGCAATGATTAATTCAATTGGAAACACCAGAATTCAAGTCACGACAAATATTTTTAACTGAAATATTTGCCTTTTTTGCTGTGTATTTCCCTAAATGTATCACTTGGGTATTTCTGTAGACATAATGTATTAAAATGGGAAATTGTCTGGTTAAGTTTGTACTGTTTATGGAGTGAGGCAATATTTGGTCATACTAGAAGCATTTTCAGTGTTAAAAATGTCCATTTAAGAAAAAAAAGAGGCCCACTTGAGGCTAAATTTAGATAGAATTTATACTCTCCTGTGTAAAGAATTGGTCATATTCTTGGCAATTCATAGAGCAAATATTTGAATAGTGCTTCATTTTGTAGTTTCTATCTTTTATTATATCAGGCATATTTAATTTTTCATTTTCTACTGTTTGAAAGGACTTTTGTTGGAAATTATTACTCCCAAGGGACATAATTCAGCTTTTTCATAGATTAATACAGGCAACAAAGGCAACTTTACAGCTGAGTATTTTGCATATCTAATGTTTAAAGTGTATAATATCTTTGTTTTCATCATCTCAAGACAGAATAATGGATTTCATAACAAGCTCTGAAATTTTGAATCACAATATGGCATACACTAAAGCATGGAATGGAGATTGGTATGAAAAATCTTGAGTTTGTGCTTATGTTGTAAATTTTGGATGAAATGAATACAAATTGAGTGGAACTGTTATTTTTATCTGTTTAAATGGAACTGTTTAATATATTTTTTAAATAAGATAAGATATGATTGGATACAGGTTGTTTATGAAGCTTTTTCTGAAAGAAGTAGAGAAAGAGGTAAACCAGCATGTAGGGGTGGGGACATTAAATGATCCATGTTTCTTTAAGTAATGGAAACATACAAGTATTTATTATAGCCAAGGTTTTCACAATAACTCAGTATTGCATGAATGGTGTCATAAGAATTCTTTATATCTTTATGTCACAGTATACTGAAAATAGCAAGGGAAATCAAAATCAATCAGACTTCATTTAAAGTATACTATTTTGAAGCTTTTGATTAGTACATTTGATTTTAATCACAAAGAATAAAATTTGTTCACTGAGATAATACTGTGTTGAGAAAAGTGCTGAGTCATCATAATAAGTCAAATTGATGGGTACTGATATAAAATTTTATTCTAGAATTTCAATATTAACTATATTGTATAAAATGCACCAAACTATAGTTCTTTTGTATTTGTTTTCACCTTTCGCAATGATTAATTCAATTGGAAACACCAGAATTCAAGTCACGACAAATATTTTTAACTGAAATATTTGCCTTTTTTGCTGTGTATTTCCCTAAATGTATCCCTTGGGTATTTCTGTAGACATAATCTATTAAAATGGGAAATTGTCTGGTTAAGTTTGTACTGTTTATGGAGTAAGGCAATATTTGGTCATACTAGAAGCATT